TAGGAGATAAAAAGTTAAGTGATGTCGCTACATTTGAGTTCATTAAATTTTTTATTGGGAGATCGATGGGGGGAGAGTTCTATGGGCGAAGCAGCGTGCAACAAATTCATTCCTCGTTATTTTATCTCGATTTGTTGGCCAATTAATTAACATTATCGTAGTCATCAGTGTCTAGAAACTGGCCCCAGACAAGATTATCTCGCGTTTTTTATACTTCTTCAGGACTCAATGAAAATATATAAGTCTTGAGATAATGGACCGGAGATTCACATAACTTCTATTTTAATTGAGACATTCATGACCAGTTCTTTTTGTATTCTACAAATGTTTGGTTCCAATAATAAATTTCATTTTGAAATTCATTGTAAACATTAAACATCTTACGGGAACTTCTGAGGAATTGAAAATTTGGGGCTTAATTCACAGTTAATTTAATTGACATGATGTCATTGACAATGTTTTTTATTTACGTTCAACAGAATTTTTTATAATTGACAAATTTGACATTCCAATATCATAAATTTGTATTATTTACTAGAAATTGAAATGGTGGAAGAACTCTATCTGTAAATCAGTGAATAACAAATTCATTCCTCGTTATTTTATCTCAATTTCACCAATTAATTAAACTTATCGTTGCGAACATTGACGTGACTTCTTATTTTTATTGCACGGAGAGAAATTTTCTAGAAAAATTCTAGTACGAGTACTGGAAAAAATTACAATCCACCGGCTGTGAAAAATTCGGGTGCTGTTGAGTTAAAATTTATTAGTATTTCTGGTAAAATTTCTGGGGATTTGTGTGAAATTTTCACAGAAATACGGGGAAAAATTCACGTTTTCCCCCAATAAAATTTCTAGTGCCGGCACTGGAATTCTTCCTTGACCGTCACTTTGCGCCTCTTTTCCCGTGCTAGCACTAGAATTTTTCTAAAAAATTTCTCTCCGTGTGTCACATTAAAAATTTTTTTTATTCAACAAACTTTGAGTTCCAATAATAAATTAATATTTCATTGAATAGAATTTCCGATGAATTTAAAATTCAACGCAATATTCATGTGGAAATACATCATGCGTCGTCTGATGATCATATGTCATCTGGAAATTGCATTGACATAATGAAAATCATAATATTTTTCATTTGTACTGAATATTAAACTTTAAAAAACTGATTTTTTTAGAATTTACAAATTTGAAGTTCTCAATAACATAAATTTACACTATATATAACAAGTTCAAACGATGGAAGAACTCTGTCTGTAAATCAGTGAATAACAAATTCATGCCTCATTATTTTATCTCAATTTCGCCAATTAATTAAAATTATCGTAGCCATCAGTGTCTAAAAACTTGTCCCAGACACGCTGATGCCGTATTTTTGATACTTCTTCATGACCAAATGAAAATATCCAATTCCCCAGATGATAGATCAAAGATTGTGATCGCATGTACCACGTCTGCGTCAATACATGGTCAATTTCATCCTAAAAAAACACAGCCAGAGGCTGATCGCCAGGACTTAATATGGCCTCGCCCATATTCACGTGTACACAGCTTTGCTGTACGTAATTCTCGAATCCGTCCGTACGCAGGAGATTTCAACTCCCCAGTGTCTCTCTGTATCCGTGCCTTCCCCCCCGGAATTTGCGTGATCGTTATTAAACGCGTACGGGGATCGAAAAATAATATCGCATATCCGTCGCCGGGGGATTAAAAAAGCTTTTGTGTCCGTGGAGCAGCGAAAATCCTCGGGATTAGCCCATTGATCCGACCAATCAAACTTCATTTTATCCTCAACTTTTATTATTTTTTGGGGTGGGATAATATTTAATTGGAGTTTCACAAAATTTTTTATTTATCGGGGGACATTACGGAAAAATCGTAATAATTCATAATTTATTTTTTAAACAGATTCTTAATTCATAATTTTTTTTGTTTCGATTTTTGTTAAAGTTTTAAAAGAAATTTATTTGAGAAATTTTCACATTTACAAATTTAATGTTTCAAAAATAATTTCAGTTTTCTGGTGAATTGAAAATTTAATGCAATTTGGAACTAAATATATCATAAAGCTTTTGTGCAAATTTAATGAAAAATCATTGAAAATTGTCAATTTCAGTTCTGTTATTTCGGAAAAATTCAGCGCAACTAAATATTCATGTTTTGATTGAAAAATCAAATAACTTGTGAAATTCTCATCTTGAAATTTAGAAAGTCATTGAAATTTCTGTAAAATCAGAAATCTAAATTTTTTCCGAACAGTGCATTCAAAAATCGCGATACACCTGTGAAATTCTGCCGTGACCCACCCAAATTTTTCTTCACTTATCACATTTTTACCCCAATTTCCTCCCCATTCGTTGCCTCCCCAAATAAAAAATACCCCTCCACCTCCTCCATTCAATTTTCCCCGTAAAATGCGAGAAACATCATGCAAAATCCCAATCGCCGGACGCCAGATGCGAAATCCACACGATCTATGAGACATCCCGTTTTGGTTATTCCCGTCCTCGACTCCCTGTCCTTATGGGAACGCGCTCAATGTCTGACGTTCACACTCACCATTTACCTGTAAGGTACAACTGTCACTTAAAACCACTTCTGTTGCCACCAGTCAGTGGGCAATGGGCTTTCAATTACCCGATCCGCCGACTCTCCTCCGTATCTCTCATCATCCCGCGACAAAAAGGAAATTCGAAAAATGAGTGGGAAAAAACACTGTTTAGTTTTATTCTCGGTTGCAAAAATTTATGAGACTACATGATGGCAGTTGATCCGCTGGGATTGGTTACAGCTTCACTCTGCGATCCGCCCCGAGGGTTGCGTTACCATGACAACTACCTTCCGAGGGGGATGATTATCACTCAAATGGGGGTAGAACTCTATTAAGTTTCAAGTTGTAAAATATTTTCTCGAGCTTTCCCACTGGACCATTTACCCGCATGGCAGGGTGTACGTAAAAATATACAAAATATATTCAATGCATTTTCACATCGAATTCTATTTATTATTAATTAATACATAAGCGCAATGTAACATTGATCAACATTTTTCCATAGAGTAAGAACCGAGTCGTCTTCAATCGTCAATATCTCTTGAACAAACGATCCGATTTGGATGAGTCACATTTCATTTTGAAGCTTATAAAAATACCTTGACAATGGAGGAAAATCGGGGAATCCCACTCTACCATTCTCGAGATACTGGCGAATAGACTTGTTTCATTTTCCTTCATTCTCTCGTATGTACGTTTTTCCGGAATTTAACAGAGTAGAATTCTTTTTGCGTACACGGAGAGAAATATTCAATGAAAATTACGCATCTCTCCGTAATTCCGGAGCGAAATGTGGTTATAGGAAATTTCGCGGAACTGTCACGGAATTTTTCCAGAGCATTCCGTAATTTTTACTTGAATTTCCTGTGAAAAATTACGATACCGAACTGTGAGTTTCGTAATTTTTACTGAAAATTTCTCTCCGTGTATTTATTCCTTCAAAATAAAATAAATATTCTTATTACAATACATTTCCTTCCATTAATTCTTTTGTAGGTTTTAATTGAATAATTTTCCATTAAAAAATGTAGAAAGAGCTGATAAATTGACGATATTACATCAATAGATGCAATATTCGAATATATGTTCAGGTAATCTTGTCTCCGTTAATCCGACTCCCCGTCAAAACGTCTGCGAGCCCCTGGATTGTGTCCCTGAACGGGTTATCCAAACATTTTGCCTCCCCGAACCATATCCAAGGGCACAATGGCGATTTCACGCGTCGATAGGGCTCGAAAATGGTGCTCCCCTCAATCCACACCCCTTTTTCTGAGAAGAATAACCGTCACCCAGCGGAGTCAATTCGCGCACAATGGAGGATGGGATATGGTTGTATTCTTCAATGTGGTGTATGGCGCGAGTGAATGGTATATTGTAACCGGATACTACGTTTAGGGATGCTTTCAAGGGTGTTGTGAGACCAGGAGCTTTGGTATTGAACATTCTGGGTCCTTTAGATGATTCGAAAATAATTTTTTTTTGAAAAGGGAATTTCACGATTTGATGAATCAGCCGAAATTCAGGGGAATATATTCTTGAATTTTCAGTCAATTGTGCAATTTAACCATTTTTTGCTTTCTGAAATTTCATTTGAACACTGGAAATAGCGATTCAAAAATAATTTTCAAATTCAAGAATTACGGTTTTTAAATCACCGAGGAAAATATCAACAATTTCAAAAATGAGAAAATTTTTACGAGAGAATTATTGATTTTAGGTTTTATGTTATTAATAAGAATCTCGAATTAAGAATGAATCATTTTATTGATTTTCAGATCATTTGAGCAGAAAATCAATGCACGGGGAGAATTATTCAATAAAAATTCCCTATCTTTTCCGTAATTCCGGAGCGAAATGTGGTTGTAGGAAATTTTACGGAACTGTCACACAATTTGTCCAGAGCGTACCGTAATTTTGATCTGAATCTCCTGCGAAAAATTACGATACCGTCACTTAAATTTTCTGAATCGATATCGTAATCGGTGAGCGAATTGTGAGTTCTGTAATTTTTACTGAACATTTATCTCCGTGTGGAATATTTGATTATTCACTGACAAGATTTCCCGAAATTTCAGTGGAACTTGAACACGATAAAAATCTTCGGGATTTGGCCCAAAAAATTCAGACGAAAATTGTGAACCACTGAACAACTCTCTCGGAGAGAAATGTTCAGTAAAAATTACGGAACTCACAGTTCGCTCACCGATGACGGAATCGACTCAGAAAATTGAAGTGACAGTATCGCAATTTTTCACAGGAGATTCAGATAAAAATTATGTAACGCTCTGAAAAAATTCCGTGGCAGTTCCGTAAAATTTCCTACAACCACATATCGCTCCGGAATTATGGAAAAGATACGTAATTTTTACTGAATAATTCTCTCCGTGCAATTGTCAAATTAATGTCTCCTTCCACTCCCCATTAACCAATAGTTTTTCATTTCCAGGTGAAAGTGTGGTTCCAAAATCGCCGAACGAAGCACAAGCGAGTCCAACAAGAGGAGGAAGCTAAAGCACAACAACAGTCGGGCGGTGGCAATAATCCAAATGGCAACGGCAACAAAAACACACACCACGTTAGCAAATGGCAGCAAGACACCAGTGATTATCATCACGAAGAAGATGACGACGATGAGACTGAAATGATTGATCCAAAAGCCGAAGACTGCTCGAGTGGATCCGAGGCGTAGCTGGACGTTGAGAATTTCTGGTAAAAGAATTAATCGTTAATCAGCGAAGGGGATATTGAAGGGATGGCCCCTTGGGAGACCGGAAGGCGAGTCAACCGAGCATCGGAAGTCAGTGTAAATGGACCCCATTGTCTGGTCAGACTGGAAACAAGACGCTAAATGGCCACCGGAAACAACAAACTCCAAGAGTATAATTCTTCTTAGTTTTCTCCAGTTTGTTTGGCTCCTTTTATATCCCCTAAACACGACGTGAAGTTAAGCCATATATTTATACAATGCCTATTCGCGCCATAGAGGAGGCCATACGTGCTGTGTAAATAGGAGACTTGATCATTGACAAATGAGCAACGAGTGCCAAATTGATACAAAAAACTAAATAACATTGAACATCACACAAATGTTACTCAACGAACCCAGTGTAATAAATAATCGTAAGGTGTATGTACGGATTAGATTCGTTGTTCCCAGGATAGTGTGGAAACAGGAGCAGTATTCAATATTAAAATGTCATGGATAGGATGATGAAAGATTTAAATTATTTAGTGAAACTTAGGTGAAAGAATTTAAGATTTAAAGCGTGTATATATTACTGTAAATAGTCAATTGTGATTCTAACGTCGACGGTAAATGAATATGAGAAATATATTGTACGGATGAACGAGAAAGAGGGGGAGGATTATTCGTGTTTCCTTGCGATGTAGCTGAAGTGGAGAGAAAACTTGAAGTGAAACGAGACAAGAAGGAAATAAATTATATCAAGAAAAAATGATGAATCGGAGAAATGATGTTTTGATGTCAATTAATTTATGCCCTTGTTGAGATTGCCTGATGCACCTTGTTTTGGTTCTCCTCGGAGGCAGAGTTTCAGGTTTGCTGGTGGTGTAGAGGAGTGGACGGAGCGGGCGGGTTTGTAGCGGGATGGGAGAACAGCGATCTCTTTGGGTTTTGGAACTGCTAATTATGTAAATTGCCAGTGTTGCAAATTACCCTCCCTGTTTGGGGCTATTCTCCACACAATCGCATATGCGGGATTCAACGGGGAATATGGGTTTTCGGGTATAGTGGTGCATTTACTCTTGAGAAAATTCGCAAAGTTATTCTTCGGATGGTGATTTATATTGTTTTTTGTGTTTTCTTACTGGGAATTCACTTCTTGATTTTCTAATCAGCGAAATTGATGTTCAAGCTTGAAGGGTTGGAGAGTATTTTTTGAATTGCAGAATAATTTAGGAAGGGTAATTCTTTTAATACAATTCATGAGATTATTGGAGAATTGATGTTAACAACATTGAGACTTCTTTATTCTTTCGGGAGATACATTCGCCTGAAATTTCCGGTACATTTCTTGGGGGTTTCGGTGAGGTGACAGTTTCACTCGAATTTTTAAGAATTTTTTCATTGGAAATTCATAATTTGTTGAGAAAATCTATAAAAACTGGAAATTCACATCAATTACTTCATAAAAATCGATAATAAGGAGGAAAATTCAGAAAAATTCAGTGTCGAATGTTCGGTTAATTGAAAATCCTGCGTTATTTGGCGCCGCATATTCATGTTTTCACTGAACATTCAAGTAAGTTGAAATTCTGGCTGAAATTGTCGTTACATTTACTGGAATTTCAACAAAAATTTTCAAGGAAAAAAAATCACAATCCACCGGCTGTAAAAAATTCTAGTGCTGTTAAAGTAAAATTTTGGTATTTCTGGTAAAATTTCAGGGGATTTCTGTGAAATTTTCACAGAAATACGGGGAAAAATTCACGTTGTCCCCAATAAAATTTCTAGTTCCGGCATTGGAATTTTTTCCTGGCCATCACTTTGCACTTTGCACCTCTGTTCCCGTGCAAGCACTAGAATTTTTCTAAAAAATTTCTCTCCGTGTTGTCGCAAAAATCAATGAAAATCAATTCTTCCAGACACCACAAAATATCTCTCATTCCACCCCCTCCCCCCCTCTCCCAAATTTACAACATGTAAACTGCTTCATAACCCCCCCCTCCCCCCCAATTATCTAAAATACGTGATAAAATAGTAGATCTCAACGGCCGAACAAATCGTTTAATCCCACTCGGAGTGGATCGTAGGGTAATGACGGCAATAAACTGTAACAGAGCACACAAGGTCCCTGAGCGGCCAACAAATTGGGCCTGACAGGCGAAATGGCCAGCAGTGGGGGCCCCCGAGGGGTACAAGGTGTGCGTTACTAGGGGGAGACTGAAGCAAGACGAAGAGAAAAGGCAATTCCTCAAGCTGAAAGCGAGAGGCGCAGAGTCTCGTGAAGAAACACAAGGAAGAGGATTCCTGATGAGCAGGCTGAAGAGGGACAGAAGACACCTAAAGTCGTATATACACGTGTATTATACCTGACTTGAAAACTAGCTTTGGGGATATGGCGATGCCCCGGGTTGTAGTGAAGACCCTGGTTCCAGGAATTGCGCGTGTAAAACACCAGTTAAATTCGTGCTTTCTAGTTGGGAATGGAGATGAAAACAATGCTACGGGTACGAAACGGGCCCTAAAATGCCTGACAAATGTTCTTGGTCCTCCACCGGTGATCCTCGTACTCCCCCGCCTCCTCCCCCCCTCTCACTCTCTCTCTCTCTCTTGTTCTCCGTCTGAGGATGTTTGATTTTTTATTTTCGGCAGCTAATCATTCTGACTCTTTCGCCGTTACCCCGGGACATATATTCGACATCATAAAAGTCCCATCAATGTCTCAACTCTGACCAAATACAACGGCCCAATAAAATTGATTGAGTCCAATTAATGATTCATCAGTTTCTTGTGTAATTCTGTTCCTTGTTATTCACTTTTTATGATCGAGTAGTTGTTTTTTATCACCTCCTTGGGATGAATAAATTAGCTGGAATTATCACCTATCGCTAATAAGTTGACTTTTTCTTGTTATTATCTCGAGTTTTTGTTTTGCTGGGGATTCGTTAAAGTGTGGGCTGGTGAATTTGAATAACATGGGAACAACAAGATCGTGGCGTTGGATGTTTGGTTATGGGGATACTAATTTCAGGTTTAACCGGGACAACTTGGACCACCTGAATCGTGTCCTCAATGTAATTTTCGTATTTCTTTGGGTTTAATATGGGGCGCGGGCTGTATACTCGGTGAGGGGGAGTTTTAAAAATTGTTGAGGCGAGGGGGC